TTTCACTGCAGGTAATAACGATCTAAATATCTCAGATCATATTCCATGCGAATGTCATACTGAGTATTGTGCGAAGTAACGCATATTGTGCGAAGTAACTCTTAAACGCGTCGATGAATCACCTCAAACAGATAGAACGGTTTCATTAGACGGATGGTTACGGTAAACGATGTTGATTCATAAGATGGGACAAAATTTTTGACAGTTTGGGGAGAAGAAACTGATCAGGAGTGGAATTATTGGAAGAATGAGATTAGATACTTGTGAAAGAGCACATGCGGGGGTGTCATATGGTAAAGCACTGCAATTGCTTGTGAAGCTGAACGTTAAAAACTGGTAAGTGATGGGCAAAGCTGAAAGTGTTGAAATCTAGCATTCGTATCTGTCATTGTCACAAAACTGTCTCAACGCCCTTTTTCCATCTGTTCCCTCTTTCTCGATCATCCTTTTTCTATACGAATAGATCAATGAAACAAGGATACGTTTGAATGAGAAGTTTGAAAAGAATGAAAGTAAAATTAGGTATAATTATTAGCCCACAGCTACAAAATCGAATCGAATCGAACTGAACGATAATATGACTGCAACATTATATGATGAAGCTGTCCGTCCGTACGTCATATCATATTAACCAACTGCAACCAGCCGGCTTGTTAAGCATCTCAACTAGATTGAAAGCTATCTTATGAAGCAGCATACCAATCAACATACATAGGTATGCCATTTAGTGACAGTCTCATAGCAGCAATTTTAAACATCGTTTCAATGGCAGAGCTTACAGAGAAGCAAACGAAAATCCCTCGTTCCCAGCTAGCTAAAACTCTCGACTATCGACGCAATGTTACTTCAGCGTTGCTCCACTCGTTGTTGCTCTGTCACCAGTTGGCTCCATCTGGTCGCATACGTACCCCTCAAGCTACTACTCTGACTGTTTTTCGAGTAACCCGTCTTCACTTACATCTATCATCAGCAGCAACAGCCACAGCATCAGCATCATTCTATCCCTTTCCACTTGCATTCTTATGCTGATTACTTTTCGTTATGCCGTAAACTGGTACTTCCCTTTCAGTTCAACCAGTTCACATTCCATCCCAACATGTCACATACGCACAATTTAGATTTTCCAATTGTCAACTTCCAAATTCACAAACATTCCAGAGACCAGCCAAATCGTCGAAAGACTTCTTCCTACAGTCTTTCTCAAACAAATTTTTGTACTTATTCTAAAGCCGTTCCGTTCCAGCTACAACATTGCATCGTCCTATGTTATGGTTCTTCGTTCATTTCTGTCCCTCATATGCGAACAATTCCTGCAATAGTTTTAGATACGATACAATAATAATACAACACATTTAAATACGTTTATGTGCTCATTCGTTTCCAAATTACGTGGAATTTGTTTCATACCTTACGCTGCTGCAATTAATCTCCTTCACAATTCCGATACGCCTAATTTGAGTCTGTCTTGCCGAACTCATTCAGCACCTTGCATTGATTATCCATTGTGCTCACTCGCTGAACGTATTCTGACTGTTGTTGGCGTTTGTTTCTGATTACGGTACCTGCTCTTGTGCCATTCTAATACTTTCTCATTCTCAGATGCTTAAAAGAATACTTCGTATGGTGATGAGCCAATCGTACTCATTACCGTTCTGCTTTTTAGTCATAATCCCTCAGAAATATGCTCAAACTCAACTGAATGCAATCACTCACTCATTTCACTGAGGCAATGAACATTCCGCAAGCAGTTTAAATGGATCAGACAATCTCATACGAAGATCACTACTCAAGAAAAGTAAAAATTCCTTGACGGAACAATAAATGCTTACGAGTCCCCACAACAAAAATGTCGCACCATTCGATAATCATTCCTTCTTGCATTACTTCCAGTATTTGAAACAATTTAAATNCCCTCATTCATTTTACTGTTGCAATGGGTTTTATCAAAAGGTAATAAGCCGACATCATAACGATTTGACGGTGTTATTGTCATGGTTCTTCACTGGCGAGAACGAAAGAAGACGGCCAAAATATTTCTAATCGATAGCCGGATTTTCCACTATTCCATCGGTTTCGAATACTGTTCGCATGTTCGAGAATTTCTTTTTATGGCAGGGATGAGTTACAATCGGAAAATCGACTCATCGCATTCATATGTAAAGGAAAGATGATGAGACTTTATGACTTGTGTGTGAATCAGCTTTTAGAATAGAACTGTTCTTACAGGTGGATTTCAATGTAGTTTGTTCCCTGCAATTCACACTTGGTTGTCAACTCTCTCTAAAACATCGACTTCTATCGGCGAAGTGAAATTTTTAGCAGCTCATTGAATCAATCTCATAAAATCCCACTATACTGTAGATGGCGACATCGGAATTCCAGTTATATTTTGCAAATAACTTTTTCGAAAGGTCAAAAACATTACCGAAAGTTGATCATCTTACAATCGTCATCACTATACTTTCTAAGTCAAACAACAACAACAAAAAAATTCTCAAGTGATCCATCGAAGCATTCAAGCACCATCCCTCCCACTCCTACTCAGCACCAGTCGTAATTCTTTCCTTCCTTCATGACTCATCGAGAAACGACGCTATGCGTTGTTGGCTATGTTAACGTCAAAACTGAACAATTTTGTGTCCAATTTTATGAGCAACGAGATAACCATGATCTAGTCGAGTTGATTTGAATCTAATCATCATTACTAATGTCGTCAATCAGTTGGCGTTTGCTTATCACTATTACGTGATATGATGATGCGTGTAATCATTCGTTATTCATGCTCACTTTCACTCTTGCCCATGTTCGGTGGCCGCTTACTTCATGCCACGTAATCAGATCATCGTAGAACGGACTTCTCTCGTCAACGCACTCAATTCTCGCATCTCAGCAACGAAATTGTAATTTGAAGTGCCTATCGCCTTGCAAATCCATTGAAATTCCTCATACTTGATTGATATGAATAAATGTATCAATATCGCATAGCGTTTGTTCCATGCCTTAAAGCGAAACTGCTGCAAGTTTGAGTGGAAAATGACAAATTCTAGATTTCAACAGTGATTTTGTTGAAGAAGTTCGAAACCAAGACACTGGAATCGACGAACGCATTCGCACTTCAAGCGGCCAATACATCAACATCCGCAACATCGAACACTGCCGCCGCATCCAATATGAACGTGATGCTGGGTGGTGCAAATACACTGAGCGCTGCATCTGCAGTCTCCGCATCAACCCTCGACTCGTCGGCGCTCTATCAAGCTCAAGCAGCGAGCATATCCCAGGTTTCGTTGAATTTAAATTGTCAATTTGATTCAACTTCACAGTTTCTACCTCATAGTTTCTATTGGCAACTATCAATTTCTGATACGTCATCATATATTATTAATTACAATCGTGATAATAATCCATCAGAACATTAGACTGGAGTCAACACTAGANTGTGTGTGTGTGCGTCTTTCCCAGCCTACAACGGGGGATTCCCCATGCCTTCAGTATTCATCTAATGTTTGTGTATTTGTTTTGGGTTTATGTAAATATGTAAATATACAAATAGATTCCGTCTCCTCTATCAGTGTCCAAATAAGAGAATTTGCGATTTCTTAAAATAACATTTGCACAAGCTGCTTGTTGCTCATTACATCACTGCTATTGATATGAGCTTTTGTTTGATGAGTCAATACCAAACGCAAATCAATGTTAACTCGAGAACAATCAATAATGCCAATCATCACTCTATTGAATTCGTTTTGTTTCAGCCCAGATGAGCACTTCTGACTAATAAATTAATCCTTAACTTCATCCTGAAATTCTTCAAACACCATCACTGTTCCCATTTTATCATTCTTATTCTCTTGCAATTAGTGTCAAAATACCATGGTCCATTCGTGACGGCAAACATGAGAAAGTCCCTCGAATACGGCAAAATCGTAGCAATTGTCTATCATTCTCCGTCGTATTCTCTAGAAGC